GAGAGAGAGAGAGAGAGAGAGAGAGAGAGAGAGAGAGAGAGAGAGAGAGGGAGGGAGCATGTGTATTTGCCTCTTGGATGTGCGTGTGTGCGTCAGCGTGCATTCTGGGTGAAGTGGTGGATGGGTGGTGTTGCTATCGACTGGGCGATACGGTAACAGCCAGCACGGGAGAGGTGGGTGAGAGCTGTTCTTCAGGTCGACTTCCCCGCCTCTGATGTCGGTGGGGGTTTCGATTTCCTAGAAGGGCAGTTGTACGCTAGAAGCGACGGTTCTGGTTTCGCATTTCCTCCATCTATGTATTGGAAAGGAAGATTCCTACTTCCCCGATTAGGATGTGTCCCCTGTCCGTCTCGGGTCTATCGTGGACTGGGCGGTGAGTTCTTCCGACAGTGAAAGTACGCGCGCTGCTTCGTTTCCACTACGAAGGCCTTGAGCGGCTTTTTAACTTAATTCGCACGGAACTTATTGTCCTTGCTCTCTCATTTGTCCCCTGCGTCCCTCCGTTAATGGTTGCGGCTCTGTTCTTCTTGGATCGCTGGTTGCGCTCCTCTCGGTCGAGGTAGCCCGGGGACAGACCGCTACTGTAGGTCTGTGAAATTAGCAGTATAGTGAAGTAGAGGATAGACTTGAGTAGGGAATGGGAAGGTGCTGCTAGTCACATAGGAGTAGGACTTAGAATTAAGTTGAGGCCTTTTGAGGAGTTATGTTGAGAAACGGTACAGAATTAAGTGAAACTGGCTGAGGCTGCCAGGATAACTCCGGGTAGAATTCTGAGGGTCCCCGGCCTCGTTTTATATTGCTTTTGGAATGAATTGAATGCTTTTGCCTTTTAAAAAACAAAAAATTCTGGGGAGCATCAGTCCGGTTCCTCTTCCACCGACAAGTCAATAGTAAATACATGTCGGACACACACACACTCTTGCTTTTAAGGTAGGAAAGCCCGAGGAACAGCATTGATTACTTCTCTCTGGAAGGATGTACCACTCCTCACCCCTGCCTAAGTTAGCCTGTTTTCTTTTACGTTGTGCCTAAGCCTGAAAAGTTACTCTGAGATGTAGGACCTTAAGGTTTGCTTCAGGGCTTCCTTGTCTAACCTGTTCCTCTCAGTTCTCTGACAGTCTGATTCTCTTTGAGTCCTAGAACCGTAGACTTGAACTTCCTCAAAAGGATTAGCTCCGCCCTGGAGCCTTCACCTGACTAGCTACTAAGTTCTACGGGCTGGACTGAGCTCTAACTACTCCTTGTTAACCCTCCTTCTTTTACCCTGTCAACCGGAGTCTGAAGTCCAAACCCTTGCTAATTTAATTGGTTCCCTGGCCTTTACCTGGTATCTTTTGACAGTCTGTCTCCTTTATCCTAGGCCAGTCTTGCCTTCCTGGCTATTGGGGATTTCTTGAACTGTTTGTTGCTGTTCTGTTGTTAAGGGTGGATATTGTTGGGGAGTTAGTAGGGCTAGGATGTGTGGTTGGGTGAGGGGTTTGTCAGGATGTGATTGAAATGGTCGGGGGATCAGGGGTTGGAATCGGGGTGATGTGTTGTATTAGGGATTAGGGGTTGGAATCGGGGTGATGTGATTGAAATGGTCGGGGGATTAGGGATTGAAATGGTCTTGCATTAGTCATCTGCTTTCTTGCCACCAAGAAGTTTTTTTGGACGACCGATGTTATTGATGTGTTGTCAATACTTGTTATAGCATTTCTGCAAGCGCTTTGAAGTCATTTCTGTCCTTCTTGGCAACATTTTTCGGGCTTGCTGGCCGCTTCTGATTCGGCGGACGGCCGCCCGAAGATCCTGTTTTCATCCTTCTTTTTGTGATGCTCTTTGCTTGCTTGATGTTGTATTTCACCTCATACTGCTAGGGGGCAGTGTGTGCCAAAAGCAAAGGCGCTTAGTACAGAGAACCCAATGACCCAAGCGATACAAAGCCCCAATCCCACAGTGCCATACCGTATGCAGTGCTGGTGGGCTGTGGGATTGGGGCTTTGTACCGCTTGGGTCATTGGGTTCTCTGTACTAGTAAGCCCCTTTCCTTTGTGCATTGTTTGGTTTCTTTGCTTAGCTGTGGGTTGGGTGTGCATAGAGTTCACTTTTGTCCACGTGGCAGCCCTGCATTATGCTGTACATATTATGGATCTTTACTGTGAGAGACTGTAAAGCTTTGTTCCTTGCACTGTCAGGGCGTGCTCTTGATACTTGTACATAGTCTGGGTTTCCCCGCATAGCTGCGGGTCGGGTGTCTGGGTTTCCCTGCGTAGTTGCGGTTCGGGTGTGCATAGTTTTTGGTTTTTGCCGACGATGCAGCCTTGCAGAACGGAGCTTTTTCAGGGTTGTTGAGCACATTTACCATTTACCCTGCTTCGACTGTGTGCTCTCATGGACTGCTCTGCTTCAGTCCCGGGTGTGACCGTGGCAGGGGAAGCAGGCGGGCCAGGGTAAGGTTTAAGAGTAGGCTGCCCACGGGGTACACCCGTGGGTTCCCCTAAGGTTGTTTTGGTAGTATATAGTCCCTGGGGATGGAGTTGAATTGTGAGATTAAGCATGGGTAGAGCTGTCTTAGTCTGGAACCCGCCCCTGCTGCGGTCTTGAGATACGGTCGATCTGCTATTGATGTAAGCTGGACCCATTTTCCAGCTTGTACGATCAAAAGGCAACCGTGGTATGATCCTGGCCGTACTGCCTGGATCATATTACAATGGTTACCCATTCCCAACAAAAAAAAAAGAGTAAAAAACAGAGAATGCTTGAAGTGCTTCTCTGACATTTTTCTTGCTAGATAGGTTTAAACCGTGTAAGTTGGTCCTGCCACTCTTCTAGGCGGCCGAAGGCTGAAGGCTGGGGTTGGCCGGTGGCGGGCCTCACCAAAGCCTTTTGACCCCCCGGCCTTTTGGGAGGGATGCCTGGCCAGGTTATCCAGAATTACTTTCCCCCCACAAAAAAAAGAAAAAAAAAAAGTGTCTGAAAACACAATGTGCGTAGTAGTCATTTGGGGAGGCGAGTAGTCAGAGGGCCGCGCTCCACTACTCTTCAAAATTGCAAAAAAAAAAAAAAAAAAAAAAAAGACTGAATCTTGCGTTAGAACTGGAAACATACTGGGGGTGAAGTCTGTCTCGGTTGGCTTACTGAACAGTGCTAGGATAGCTTGGTCTTGGTTTTCAACTAGCGTCAGTGATTTTTCTGACACTTGTGTAGCATCTGTGCTTTAGCTTGACTCGAGTTTTTTTTTTTTTTCTTTAAGGCAGGGCTCTGAGGGCGTCATTTATAATATAACAATCAAGCACAATTGAGGCCGGGAATCCCTCAAACAACGCAACCCAGAAAATACTGGGGGCACAGCCCAGCTCAGAATTGGTGTCGGAAAATTATATAACCAAGAGCAGAAATGGCCAGATCTAGGCTGCTGCTCTGGCATTATCCACGACCCTCAGAAACAAGATTGCCTACAAGGCCAACAAATCCTAACAATCCGAAAAGGAAAAGCATCTAAATGATAGGGCGATAAAAGGATAAAACAACAAGAAAGCAGGAAAAAAAAAAAAAAAAAAAAAAGAAAACAACAATCTACCACACTACAATGCAGAAGAATTCCCACCCGGACCAAACTAATTTCTCTGAATGAAAACAACCTGTGCCATGTAGGCCAGCAGAGCCACACAAACCAAAGATCATAAAGCTACAACACCTGTTCCTATACTACCCTACTAACTTATGCAAATGAGTCCTACCAGAGACTTATCAGAAAGGGCCCCGCTTATAATGTTCATCCTCTCCATATATTCTCTCAATCCTAAATTTTAATACAGGATCTAATACGATCCCTTACTCATACTGACTGCTCTCTCCGTTCCGTTTCCCACTGCCTGTCCACTGCGACCACCGAACCGAGCAATCCAGGTTCAACACCCTCCTTACAAGGAGGAAAAAAGCCTCTGATCTAGAACCAGATGTCCATCAACAATTTTAGCCAGAGTACCTCGGCTGCACCAAGTGTCTTGAAACCACTGTAAGCCGCCTGTTCGGTTATCAGACTTCTGCACCTTCCGCCTCCAATCTGCCTGGATTGCTTGTCTTATCCCCTTGTAAATTGTGGCCCGAATCTGTCTGTTGGACCAGTCTTGACCTTTAAAAATACGGTCATTCCTTCCTTGCCAAATTGTAGCACATACCACTGCTCTCAAAACTTTTGCAACATATCCCCAGCCTTTAGCTAGGTTCAGATGGTCGGCGATTCCCCTCATTTTCTGAAGTTTGTCGTCGTAATTTTCTGAATAGTTAATCCTAGGGTTCTCGTCCTATTTTCTGAAGTTTGTCGTCGTAATTTTCTAAATAGTTAATCCTAGGGTTCTCGTCCTATTTTCTGAACAGTCTAGGGTTCCCATCCTAAAGACCAAGCTTTCCTAGTTAATCCTGACTTCTCCGTGCAATTCTCTCTAAGGGTTTTGAGGGTCCTTTGTTCATCGCTCCTAAACCCTAAACCCCTCGACTATTCCTCTCCTCTGGGTTCTGGATACCTGTTCAGATTAGGACTGTGCCCTTGCTTTTTCGTACTGGTTGGCGGGGAGGTGGTCTTATTTAGGGGTTGATGCTGTCAATCCGTGTCCTTTTCGGGAGTCTATGTGGACACTTTACTCTTTATCTCACACCTATTGAAATGATGGCCTTTCCCCACCTGTATGCCACAGCGGTGCTTCCTTTCTATATTGACATAATTGCGACGGGAGACGGGGCACTTCCGTACTCAGCAAACAATTTCAGAGACCTACTTGCCAAGGTCAGTGTGTGTTGTATGTGCTGTGTCATCTCTCTCTCTCTCTCTCTCTCTCTCTCTCTCTCTCTCTCTCTCTCTCTCTCTCTCTCTCTCTCTCTCTCTCT